ATTATACATAAATAAATAGCATTATGTATCCTTCATAACATTTAAAACATAAAAAATTCTTTGGCCCAACAAAATTAAATAATATAATAAAATAGTATAATTTATCTATTTCATATAAAACTTTACATAAAATTCATGTAAAAATTTTATTTATATTTATACTTGCTTATTGCACTCTACATTTTAAATAGGTAATTTAAAATGTAAAGTGCAACAAGCAAGTTTAAATAAGTACCGGATTATTTTCGTTTATTTGCCGGACATTTACTTGTACGACTTATAAAATCAATTTAATATCTGAAACTCTTGTATTGAGATCACAAATTAAATTGAACAGTATATTTTTAATCTTATTTGTTACTCTTTGCAAACTTTATATAATTCTTATAACTAAAACTTAAATACGAGAAAGATAGCGCATCGCACGTCGCATAGCGGTAAACGAACGAACTAACACATCCTTGCGTGCTCGCGCGAAACTTTGATGTCCAAGATCGGACATTTTGTGGACGTCCAAATATTGGCCGTTAACGGATGTCCCGAATCGGATGTACGATGAACAGTCATTTCATGTCCATGGACGTACGGACGTAAAATGGACATAAAATGAATGTCCATAGGATGTCCTGTGCTGTCTGGGTACAGCGTGTGTCATATGCCATTGTATTTTGTTCTGCTATCTGCAAGTCTTTCAAAGCCTTTTCCAATCTAAAGAACACACGTTGAATAAATATTAGCGCACAATAAATAACAAATATATATATATATATATATATATATATATATATATATATATATATACGTATATATATATATATATATATATATATATATATATAAAATTTATTTTTGTTAGTAGAATAATTTCGAGATGTGTACATTTACTATATTCTAAACATTTTACTTAAACTCTTAAGATTTTCGAAAACGCTCACTAGATTTCTACGAGTTTTTACATCAATGCAGGAAGTTTGTAAACTGCGATATGAGCACCCGATTATATATGTTTTATCGTTTACAGGAAAACTTACATGTTTACAATACTAAATAATATATACATAAATAGTATATTAGAATACTAAATAATATATTTACAATACTAAATAAAAATGTATTTACAACATGTATTTACAATACTAAATAAAAATGTTATAAATTAAAATATTATTTTAATTATTTTAAGATCATTTGTGTATTAATTACGTATCATTTACTTGTATTAATATTTACATTTAAAACACATTAATATGATATAATCAAAAATATAATCAAATACATATAATATTAATTAATGAAAATTAAATGCTTCTACATAATTGTAATTTTATTTAAATATTAAAAAAAAGAACCCTGCACATTTTACATGAAAAAAGTGGCTTTGATCAAATTGGCTGAAATTGAAATATATTGTAGTTTAGATGGTGCTAATCAAAAGTTTCCTGAGGCAAAATGTCCAAAAATCAAAAATATAAGATACGATAATTTGAAGTGGGTGTATATATATATATAATCAGTATATATATATATATATATATATATATATATATATATATAATAATAATACACTAATCGTGCTTGATCGTGCTGGTTACCCTAAGCATCGGTCGATATGATTGGCTGTGTCTAATCATACTGTGTCTAATCGGGCAATCTCCATTGCGACGCTCAGTCCAGTGTATATGTCGATGGTATTAAGAGAATACTCGATTGTGATTGGTCAATTTCTCGAGTCTTACGCCTTACAACCTTAAGCCGGGTCTACATTGGTCATATCATAACGTCGCAAGTCGTAAATGGTAGGCAAAGGCTGATGGCAGAGAACTAGATGTCTGTCATAGTCGTGGACGTAAAGTAAGACAGAGAAAAACGTAAGTCGTATAAGGCTATTGTGACAATGGCCTTGTACGACTTACGTTTTTCTCTGTCTTACTTTACGTCCACGACTACGACAGACATCTAGTTCTCTGCCATCAGCCAAAGACCCATGGACGTAAGAAATACAGGACAGAGCATAAAATACTCTTTTAGACGAGGGGAGTGAAGCCAGGAGTAAGGGGTTTATTGTCGCGGCCATCTTAGATGCCTCAGATGTAGCGTCTATTTTCATATCGCACGGACGTAAATCGAATAAAATATGAGAGATTCCGTGAAATCATCTATCATCTGAAATCGCTGTGTTATTCCGAATCATTTCTAAATATTAAGGAATTCAAAAATATCACACTCCGTGAAATTAATATCCGTCGCCATCTTACATGTCTCATATTCCGTTGCAGTAGACATTTCTTTCCCCTCACCCTTTGAGCTTCACTCCCGCAGCAATATACTCTGTCCTGTATTTCTTACGTCCATGGACGTAAGAAATACAGGACAGAGCATAAAGTATCCTTTTAAACGAGGGGTGTGAAGCTTGAGGGATAAGGGATTTATTGTCGCGGCCATCTTAGATGCCTCAGATTTAGCGTCTATTTTCACGTCGCACGGACGTAAATTAAATAAAATATGAGAGATTCCGTAAAATCATCTATCATCTAAAATCGCTGTATTATTCCGAATCATTTCTGAATATTAAGAAATTCGAAAATATCACACTCCGTGAAATTAATATCCGTCGCCATCTTACATGCCTCATATTCCGTTACAGTAGACATTTCTTTCTCCTCACCCTTTGAGCTTCACCCCCGCAGGAATACACTCTGTTCAGTATTTCTTACGTCCGTGCTTACATCCATGAATTGACCAATCATGGTTGATTATTTTTGAAATAATCGACTATGGTTGGTCAATTTGCCTACGATTTACGACTTGGGACGTTACGATATGACTAATGTAGATCCGACTTTATGCTACGGCCATTGTAGAATGGCCTTAACGTCGCAAGTCGTAAAGGCGTCTTTAGATGGAAGCATTTAGCGTCAAGTGTTGAGCGTCAAAAACACGTGCGCAGCACCCTTGCGCATAATTCTAAACAGGCAGATTCCAGCATCTTGACACTAATACAATGTTTAGTAATAAAAATTTAATAGATACCGTAGAGATAAGTAGATTGTATATTCTTCATAGAAAATGTATTAATATATATAATATATAATAGATATTATTATACAATATATATAATAGAATTGCGCGATTAGCAACGTAGTACAACATAACCAAACATAGAAGGAATAATTGGCATAAATATATGTCTTCTAAACATATATTATTACAACATGAATATTATTTATTACAATGTATTCTTTGTATAAGATATAACGTGTGCACGTTGAAAATCAATAAAAACAATATTTTTAATCACGAATGCATGAAACATTGGCATAGGCACACTGCGCTTGTCACACTTTTTGACGCTTTAACGCTCAGACGCTCCTATGTAAAAGCACCTTAAGGGAAGGGCCAGGGCACAAATATGGGTGCTTTCCAATTGTTTAACACATCTTAACACAAACATACACAGGAAGGCACAAAGTGTAGCGATGTGCACGATTCAATTAGAACAAAGTTAATGTGCGACTTTCGAGTGGAGGGTTAGGATTCTTCATAACCATGTCCATCTTGATATTTTTTAATCCATGCTGAGGGTGATAGCATCGATATATAAAATGGATTGACCATTCCGTGTAGACAGGCATCAAATTCGATGAAAGTTTCTTGATCATCACTCAAACAATAAATAACGCCCTCATTCGAATAAATAGTTTTTTCCTTAAAGCAAATATGTTCATACAATTCTTCTCCATTTGGTAAAAGGGAAAAACATGTTGCACACGTAAAATTTGTGTAATTAGTCTGTAAATAATTCGAAGCAAAGTTATTAACATACATAGATGTATATATATGCATAATATTATATAATATATAAATAATATATAAATAAAATATATAAATGCATATTATATTAATATATAAATATGAATGAAAATTTAATCAGTAATATATCTAACCTGCAAATATGCAAAAGAGACAATTTTATTTTATTTATTAAATATAATAAAAAAATTAATTGTACAAAAACTCATTAATTTGAATTACTTACTTCAATGATACTTTTAATATTTTTATTGTCCATTTTTGTATTTGTATGGTGTACTTTAATGGTTGTCTTTTAATTAAAAAGGATAAAACGAAAAGAAAATTGCCAACATAATCGCCGTCAGTCTGTAACCACATATTTCATTTGTCCCTAGAAAACAGAAGGTTACACAAGTTGACTAGTAGCCCTCGAGCTGAGTACGGATGTGTGAAGTTGTGTCGGCAGTTACGGCAATTGGAACGCGACTTGTGTCGCCGTGTGCATAAAAGTGTCTAGGGATATCTCAATTGGAAAGCACCCTATATATATATGGCATATATGTGGCATATTTACCGCATTCAGCGGACTCAACAATTGAGCAACATTACTAGATTTTCCGATGTAATTTGATGCTGATTGGTCGGAACTGAAAGTAAAAACCAATCACGTTCAATTGCTATTTAGCGGTTGAATTCGCTGAATGCAATCAATGGCCACATTCAGCGGACTCAACAGTTGGGCAACATTACTAAATTTTCCGATGTAACTCGACGCTAATTGATCGGACCTGAAAGTAGAGACCAATCATATTCGATTGCTACTTAGCGATTGAGTCCGCTGAAGCGGCCAATGGTTGCGTTTAGCAGAAAAAGCTGCTTCGCAACTGTTGTAAAATTCGTGAATCTAATTGGTGTACGCTCTTAGATTCAGTCAAAATTAAGAGCATACACCAATCAGCCCCTTGCACAATGCTAGGCAATAAGCAATAGAAATAAGAAATATAAACTATTTACCAATAAATACGCGGAACAGAAAATATTCGCCAATAGGAAAAGATAATAGATATTATTTCTATTCTTATTGCCTGTTCCCTAGCATTGTGCAAAGGCCTTTACAAAGCAACTTCTTCTGCTGAACGCAGCCAATTCATTTCCTCATTACGTGATGTCTTTTGATCATTGAATAAAGAATACCAGGAAGGAACCATTGAACTATATAACATACTGGAAGCCGCGCTACCATAGAAAGTGGCCGATCCAGCCTGTTAGACAAGGAGGCGCTAAAAGGTGATGTGTTCTTTGTTTCTCTAACGTATTACAGTCGATTCGTCTAAAGTTCTCACACCATAGTAGATGAAACAAAACTGTATGTATGTACTATTTTATCACAATTTTAATTTGAAAAAATGATATTTGAACAAATACGTATTACATTGCACATGCTACATTTCTTTAGACTAATGTTTTCAGCTCAAGTAATATGTAAGACAAGGAAAGCATGACAACTTAGCATCTGTCTCTCTCGGCTCGGGAATAATAGACAAAACGTATCTTTGCGCGGCTTCCAGTATGTCATATAGTTCAATGGAAGGAACATAAAGCGAAAATCAGTGGGAGAGAGAGGATGAAACTTATACGTCATAATGGCTCACAAGAAATTGACTAATCACAGTCGAGTATTCTCTTAATGCTTGACTGTGATTAGTCAATTCTTTAAGTTACAGCTTTAATCCATTAATTCTACTGTCATTATAAACGGCGTGTTAAAACTGAATCAATTCCTTAACTAATGATACCTGGTGGTACACAAGCCAAGTTTGTAACATAACCTCAATTTCGTTGATACGATCGAGTGTGTCGATAAAAAAATTAAAACAATTTAATGATTTATAATGAATGAATTGGTAGTAAGATGGTGAATTGTTATTTATATGGATATTCAAAAACTGAGGGACGTACCGAAACGTCTCATATGTAAATATATTTATGTTAATACGAGATTTGCAAATTAAATATATAAACGTTTGAAATTTACCGCTGTCCTTTCGCTTTCGATGGCATTATAAATACATCATAAAACTAAACTATTCCGGCTCCACTCGCATCGGCTCCTTGCTAATTCTTTTTTCGAACCTTTTGACGCTGAAAATAAAGGTCGAACGTCCTATGAATTTATGCTTTAAAAAAATTTAAATTCACTTATATAATTATTTTCAATTATAAAGATTTTTTTAGGATATGAAATTGAAAGAGAGAAAAGAAACAAATAATGATAAAAAAAGACAAACTCCATCGACTACCAGAAATTTAACAAACATTGATCAATTTCTCTGCAAATATTTATTATGCAATCACATGTGCAAGTCACATGAATGAGATAAAGAAATAGGAAATGAATCTGATTGGTTATGTCAAACTCTGACATTTACGACTTAAGGTGCAATTTCATTGACGCTAAAAAGTAGCGTCAACAATTGGTTGAACAAAGAAGCAACTACTTACTTCTTTATTCAACCAATGGTTGACGCTACTTTTTAGCGTCAATGAAATTGCACCTTTATCGATTGACATGTAATTGATTATTAGCGGTACATGCAACTTTCTATAACCTACTCTATCTTTCGCAGAATTCAAGAAAGTTAATTTAAATATCTCTCATAAAAACGTGAAAAAATGCAGTAAAAAATTAAGTACAGGAAATAAATCTCCGGTAATGAATTCTTCGAAACTAACCTAACCATCTTCGACGAAATTATGAATCGTGAAAAAAAAGAGACACTTTGCGCGCTTATCATTTTCGCGATCCTGTTGGCACTTTTGACGACGCTTTAACGATGATCGTAACATCGGGAGGAGAAAAACTTGACGAAACAGAGAAAATGACGCGAAATCGAAGCAATTTCTATCCGGCCGCGTTCAAACGAGCCGCCGATTCGCGCTCGCCGAGTCACGTGGTGACCACCCACATTTCGGATTGTGGGTAAACAAGAAGAGAGGAAAATATTTGTGCGCGCCTATCGTCATCGCAAGGCATTGTCGGTCCTCCTCCTCACCGTCGCTGCCGTCCTCGTCATAAATTAGCGATCGTCGCGATTAAATCGAGAAACCGGAAGCGGAAGAGAACGATACGAGAAATCCCATAGATCCTCGAAGGAAACAAACTCGAAGGGAGAAGGTGCTTAAAATCCATCCTGTACCGCTTCATAAATTATTACGCAAAAATTACGCGCGCCTAACCAGCCACCCGGTGTGTAGTGCAGTGTGCGCGAGAGAGAGGGCCACATATATAATAAATTGGTCGCGCGCGCGCGAACGCACTCCGGCGGGGAGCGAAGCGGGGACGTCCGCGCCGGGGGGGCTGGGGGCTGGCGGGGGAGCCGGGACCGGGCGGAGGAAGGAGAGTTCGGGAAATAGCCGGCCATATTTCGCGCGAGTGCTTTACTCGCGTGCACGAATACGTGTTTTGCCTCGCGTGTCGCCTCGTCTCTATCTCTCTCTCTCTCTCTCTCTTTCTCTCTCTCGCTTTCTCTCTCATCCCGCCTGTATAGAGCATCTTTATCTCTCAACGCTCCGATTTTTTCTCTCCCTCTCTCTCTCTTTCTCTCTCTTTATCTACCTCGTGTCTGATTTTTTGTCATTACTCGGTATATATCGCAAAGAGAGTATATATCCTTCTTTACCGGTCTATCTCGCGTTCTCGTCCTCCATCTACATTCGCGTATCTATTCATCTAATTCGAGCGAACGTCCGTCGAGATTGAGAGATAAATCTTGAGCGGCTATCTATCGGGTGTCCCGTCTCTCTCGCGCGCTCTCCGCCTCTCTCTCTCTCTCTCCGCTGTCCTACTCCGCCGCCTCTTCCTCTCTCCCTTTCGCGCTGCTCTCGACTACACCACGGCACACTCGCTCTCGGTGCTATGTCTACGTACTCTCGTACCCAGGAGAGCGACGCGTGGGCTCTTCTGGCACTGAAGTCGGCACCGGCCAGCCCGACGAAGATGCAGTGGAATCCGGAGTCGAAGGGCGCGCCGATTGCGCGGCTCGAGGGCCGCGAGTTCGAGTACATGGTTAGGCAACGGCGCATCACGATCGGCCGCAACAGCAGCAAGGGTGAGGTCGACGTCAACATGGGCCACTCGAGCTTTATCTCGCGGCGGCACCTCGAGATCTACTACGAGCACCCGTTCTTCTACATGGTCTGCAACGGCAAGAACGGCGTGTTCGTCGACGGGGTGTTCCAGCGCAAGAGCGCTCCTCCCTTTCAGCTACCAAAGACGTGAGTCCTCCGGTCTCTCCTTCCGGGATATTTATTTATCTCCTTTATTTATTTATTTACGATCTCGCTCGCATAGTTTGTCACTAAATATACGACTCGTCGGCTTGTACTCCTCGCTATTACTGCTCGGGATTTTCGACCATCCGTGTGTGCGAAAAATATAAATTTGTATTTATTTTTTTTTTATATTTATATTTTTAATTTTTTTTTATATTTTTATTTTTATATTTTTTATTTTTTATTTACGTTTTGAATTTTTATATTTTTATAAATATTGTGAAAAATATATTTAAATTGTATTTTTTTTTATGAAAAAATTCATCTCATTACCCTGAAATAGTACCTCGTCGTAATTAAAAAAAAATTTATCACAAAAGATAGTAAAAGAGTCGATAAGGTGTATTTATAAGTCTAGGACTTGAATAAAAAGTAATTGGATAGAAAAACAGGAGAGATGAATAATATAATAATCATTTTTGTGTAATTAAGTGTATTTTTGAGTGATAAATAATACAAGTGAGTACATTTGAGTATATTTTTCAGTGATGAATAATACAGTTGAGCACATTTTTGAATAACGAATGACACATGATTTCTTATACAGTCATTTTTGTGTAATTGAGTACATTTTTGAGCGATAAATAATACAAGTGAGTACATTTGAGTATATTTTTGAGTGATGAAGTTGATACAATTGAGTAATTTTTGAGTAACGAATGATACATAATTTCTTATACAAAGTCAATATTCACCTAAGCTAATAATTGAACAGCGGAATTTGAGAAACATTATATTAGCAGCGAATAATTAAATTATTATGATTAGTGAGTAGAAATTGATAAATAAAATCCTAGAATTGTAATGTAAAGTAATCTCGTATTTGTTTAAATAATAAGCTTGCTTATCATTTCCCTTTGTTATAAATGTTTAATTAATAAAATTCTATACATTTAATACTATTTAATATACTATTTAAAATACTATTTAATATACTATTTTAATATACTAATTAATCTTCATATTAATACTATTTTAATATACTAATAACACATTCTTATTTCCTAATTAATATTATCTTTGATGGTATTTTATTTTCAGATGTACATTCAGATTTCCGAGTACAACGATAAGGCTGATCTTTCAGTCGCTTATAGACGAGCAGGAGCAAAGTAACATTCGAGTGCCCTCTCCGCCAAAGCAAAGGGCACCTTTACCACCTCTGCGGATAAACATACCGGACGCCGGGTATAGCAGTCCGTTCCCATCACCTACGGGAACAATCAGCGCCGCAAACTCATGTCCGGCGAGTCCACGTGGCGGTCAGGGCAGGAGAAACGTCTCGGCGGATCTGCAGATGGTGGCAGTGTACGCTGCTGCTGTGGCGAACGATCCGCAGAATTCTACTTTGGACAGGCATAACTTGGAGAGGCACGAGGGTGGACAGAGCTCCAGCAGACAGATCAGTCCTGAGCCTGGTGCCGAGGCTCGTTATCGAAGCGGAAATAGTTCGGGACCGAATGGTACTGCGCCACATTACAGTCCACCAAAAGACGACTCGAAGCCGCCGTATTCCTACGCGCAATTGATCGTTCAGGCGATAGCGTCGGCGTTAGACAAGCAGCTCACATTGTCGGGCATCTATTCCTACATCACCAAGAACTATCCGTACTATAGGACTGCGGATAAGGGTTGGCAGAACTCTATTCGACACAATCTATCTTTAAATCGTTATTTCATCAAGGTACCTAGAAGCCAGGAGGAGCCGGGTAAAGGTTCCTTCTGGAAGATAGATCCTCAATCGGAGGCCAAGCTCATCGATCAGGCCTTCAGACGGAGACGACAGCGTGGCGTACCTTGCTTCCGTGCACCCTTTGGGACGTTATCATCGAGGTAATGTCGAAGAGCCTTTTTTTTTATTTTATTCACGAATAATAGATATAATAACAATTAGAAGGCTCGTGTATTGCAATGCAAAAATAATCAAATTAACATTAAAGGGCCGACAATACGAGCAAATTAATAAGATAGAAATAAAAATAAAACAATTAATTATAAGTTCGTTTAATTAAAAGATCACAAACGTTTCGACTTAACTTAATCTTCTTCAGTATGATATTTAAACAAAAACAATATATTAAATTGATCCGTAATTGGTCGCAAAATACAATTATAAACTAACTTTATTCACGAATATCGATAACCCATCTGATATTGTCTTATGTGATCAGTAGGAGTGCGCCGGCCTCGCCGTCTCACGTAGGAATTAGCGGCTTAATGACGCCGGAATGTCTAAGCAGAGAGGCTTCCCCAGGACCCGAGTCGTATCCGGACAGTTCTGTTCCCTCTCCAGCTGGACAACTCGCGACGAGTCAATCGGCGCCTGGCTCACCTGGACATCCGTACACATCGTCCCAGTCGACTCACAAGGGACGTCTGATGCAAACAATTGTAACAAATGGTGTTAGCGGTGATACTGGAAGAGAAGGTGAGGTATTTTCTTTCTTTTTCTTCTTAAGATTCTTTTGTTATCGGCTTTCTTTTGAGATAATATATATATAATCGTTCATTTGTCGAAATAGAAAAATATTTGGTGCCTGGACCAAACGTTGTAGAGGACCATTCTTTATCTCCGGCTGGCCAATATAGTCCGGCTCCTGTTATTGTACAAACGACGTATAATTACAGGTATGCTCGTTGTAAATCAAATAAAATAAAATTAAATTACTCCGCCAGCTCTGCTATGCTCGACGCAGCTTCATCAACGATCGCCATTTATATTCTCTGTTTGGAACAGTGGAAATTTTATCGGCCCCGATGCTGGCGTCGGGGGGGTTAGCAAACGTGCCCACGAAGAGTCGGACAGCTCGCCGGGTTCACCGGCCCCGCTTGCGATTGTCGAGAGTCCCGAGCCGCCCGAACAGCAACCATCGCAATCCAAACGCCAACGTATTCATGAAATGGACGATCATTGAACTGATACATACACTTAGCATCCTGTTATGTAGAACATTACATTTACATTGCATTATTTGTCTCTATCGTCGAACACATATTGCAAACTTCATATTGTTTTAATTGCATAACCGCTTTAGACTGCACATAATCAAGATTGAGCGTCAGTTCTATTATCTCGCGCGTTAAGCAACGCGAGAAACTGTTGTGTGTATGAGTTTTTCGCAAAAGAAATATCGATCTTTGAAAGAAAGAACGAGACGAGAGCGGAAGACACTTTTCCTGTCCTTCTAGAATTCATGTCTCATCATGATTCTCTCATCAACAGTCAATGTATATAAGATATACATATACTTTATTAAATGCTTTCTCTTTATGACTTGTTAACTTCGGCTGAAGATATAGTATATATATGTATATGGAGCTTATTTGATTGAAAAAGGTCATCCAAAATAGTAACAGCAGCTGATATTGCGCTGCTACATCAAATTGCAATAATGTGATGCGGTAACGTGTGCCATTCAGCGTTTAGCCGATTTATTAAATAGATAAAGAGAAAAAGGAAACGAGAATGTTACCCACAATGTAATCCAATCGAGTTAAAGCGCGATACATTTACAATTAAATTCGCTGATCGACATCCATTTCATACTCGCGTGATTTTCGTTGCACTACCGCTTGCACCAACTTGGCGTCGTTATCGCAATTAATGAAGATTAATAATAATAATGCAAAATGATATAGAAGAAGAGAGAAATAGATTATTATTACAATTATTACAACAGCGTTCTTAATTTATAATATGCTCAATCGAATGTCCATCTGAAGCGAGCTAATAAGGCACAGACTTTTCACAAGACTAAACGTATAAAGAGATACCTCTTTCAAAAAAAAATTGCATTGTATTGTATTTAATAATGAAAAAATACTGATAAAGGATAAATTCTTTAGGAAACGATGAGCTTTTGACGATGTAATCTCTGCTCGAGAAATTTCTTACCAGAGTCAGAGAAGAAACAAAAAAATAGAGCCTTGTAATATTTTATATTTAATCAATGTAAGGACGCGGATGTAGTGGAACTAATTCCACCCGGTGAGCTACGCATACACATATATTACATTTAAAAAAATACAAAAATTCCTAGGGAATCTACATGAACACATACATGTCGGGAGATTTTTGATTTCGCTCAAGATTTCCTCGGATTATCTATCGTCCCGAGTTCGCTCGAACGAGGTGATTTTGCGTTTACATCACGGGATGGTTCACCCAATCAATTCTATCATCTAAAACAGTCTTCTTATTTTTAACATTAGAAGAGAAACTGTTTCAGATAAAAATTTAGGTGAGAGAATCTTGTAAAATATGCGTACTGAAAAAGAGAAGCTATTGTCACGATGCCAAACTCTGGGATTACACCGAGTTCTTTCTTTTTCTCGTGCAATCGTAGTTAATATTTTGTATTATTACTCGTCAATCTCCCTGTAGAAGAGGGTCGGCTGTTTATAGAAAACAATACGTAGCATTAGGTTCACGGAAGCGGGGCGAGGAGAGCGGCATTGGATGCGATTGCGTCATGAAGATGATTGTGCGATGGGGAGGTGTAATAGAGTAAAAAAAAAAATTTATTTTTCTCGCACCTTTCGCGCGTGTATGTGACGTTTATCTGAAACGTTATTTTTCTATAGTTGAAAATATACGAGCACACACACACATAACATACATACTCACACTCTGTCTCTCTCTTTTTCTCTCTCTACAAGGAGGTTTTTGATGATACTGGTAGATGGACTAACACTGTTGTACAGTGTTGACACATACGTATCTCACAAAAGCAACGTATGTCCATTATACATATACGTACACATACATGTGTAGACATACATACAGGGTGAGGAAAAAGTATGGAAACATTTGAATTTTTCGAGAATTATGCATTTTAGAAACAAATGATTCCGACAAAAGTTGTAAGGTTTCAAGTAATGCATTATGTAGCAATATCAGTATGACCTTGAACAGCACCGTCAAGGTCATATAAAAATCAGTTCAAATTTTTTAAATGGAACCCCTTATTTTTTATTACACATTCTTATAGCTTGTTTCAAGAGCTTTCCAAAACACTATATTAAAGTGTTTTTTCATTGAGTACTTTTCGAGTTATGAGGCTTCAAATCATTTCTTAATTTTTCCTAAACCATAAAATATTTAATCAAATATTCATTTTTTTATTATCTCACCTTCATACTTTTATGTATAAGACAATATGAAGAATCAATTAATGTAAAGAAAAAACATAGTTTTGAAGAAAAAATATTTTATTGTTTATGGTTTATGTAAAATTAAGAAATTATTTCGAGCCTTATAACTTTAAAAGTACTCACTGAAAAAATACTTTATTATAGTGTTTTGGAAAGCTCTTGAAACAAGCTACAAGAATATATAATAAAAAGTAGGGGGTTCCATTTAAAAAATTCAAAGTGATTTTTATGTGACCTTGACGGTGCTATTCAAGATTATATTGATATTGCTACGTAATGCATTACTTGAAACCTTACAACTTTTGTCTGAAACATTTGTTTCTAAAATGCATAATTTTCGAAAAATTTAAAGGTTTCCATACTTTTTTCTCACCCTGTATATACATACATACAGGGTGTCTCAAAACTCATAATGAATCTTTCAAAGACAGATTTCTGGGATCATTTGGAGACGATTTTTCCTCAGCGAAAATGTCGATGAAGGCCATCATTTTTTGTATGTTCTCGATTTTTATCATCATATATCTTTGCAATTAAGCCTTAACTTTAAATTTGACTGAAGTAAACTCTATTTAAAATTAATTGAAGAATGTGGTTTTGTTAATATTTTATTTCTACAAAAGTTTAGTTTACGAAAAACCCCTTATTTCCAATCACTTATAATTCGAAAATTATTAGTGCCTCGACATTTTCGTCGAGGAAAAATCGTCTTCAGATGATCTCAGGAATCTGTCTTTGAAAGATTGATTATGAGTTTTGAGACACCATATATATATATATATATATATATATATATATATATATATATATATATATATATATATTTATGTATATCCATATGATATGTCGCGAAAGAGATCAATATGTTTGCAGCACGTGCGTGTCACATAACACACACACATACACATACACACACATACATTTTCGTTTAACGTCATACACATGTATGTGTGCATATGTATAATATTGCAATAAAATTAATACTATATTATAAATCTCTTTTCTATTGCATATTTTTCTTGTATCCCTTATGTATCTTCGAGTCTTTATAATTACTAATTTATAAAATAACGATTATACCCTAATTTAGGTGCATTTCGTATTTTCAAGTCAAGACTGTTCATCGAGGTATCAAAATCACGTGGAAAATTAAGCTCGCATTTGCAGTTGAATCTCAATGTGTACATACGACATACAATCTTCCTGAATCTCGATTATAAATTTAGTCAAGCTCGTTCCCCTAAACTGAACTCCCCTATTCTCAACAATCCCTATTCTTAATAATTTCCTATTCTCAATAATTCCCTATTTTTAAATAACATTGAGAATAGAGGACTCGCTCGGTCGAAGGCTCGCGTTATTATGGCCGATCACGTATGGCACTATGAAAACAATTCTCGTTTCCCGCAACTCGTCGCAACAGTTAATTAATAGTCGCCTGAAGGAGTATTTCGATCATGGATCCAGAACGGAACGACGCCAACATTTACGGTCTCGTAACTCAACTGGTCGAACACACGTTGCGAAGGAATCGCCTCGAGAATGGAAATTCTTATACGCCACCGAGGAACGATATTAAGACAGTGAGAAACTTTCGTTCGAAGGCTTATGAAATTTTATTAAACAAGAGTAAAAAAGTATACAGTCAAGGTACATTTACATATTTATTCATATATTTTTTATATATTATATATATATATATATATATATATATACACACAGGGTGTCCCAAAAGTTGTTAATTACAAATTACATATTTTTTTCTTAAAAACAACTATGTTTTTTCTTTACACCAATTGATTCCCCTCATTATTTTGTACATAAAAGTATTAAGGTAAGATAATCGAAAAATGAATATTTTACAAGATATTTTACGGTATATGTAAAATTAAGAAATGATTTCAAGCCTCATAATTCGGAAAGTAATTAATGAAAACTAACTTAATTATAGTGTTTTGGAAAGCTCTCGATGTGAGCTACCAGAATATTTAATAAAAAATAGGAAGTTCCATTTAAGAAATTGACAGTGATCTTCACATGACTTTCAAATGATTCTCCCATATCAAATCATTGCCACTATCTAATGGCCCCCTTTAAGCCATACAACTTTTGTTTGAAACATTTCTTTCTAAAGTGCATAGTTTATGAAATATTCGACCGGTCCGGGACTTTTGGGACATCCTGTATATATATATTGATATTAAATATATCATTTATATATTTTTTATATTTTTATTATATTCCCAATGAATTTTATACTAATGTAATAAAATACTAGTAGGTCGATCTTGTAAATAATAGTGCTTTATCATTGCAGAGAATGTAACGAGTTCTGAAATTGATCCCTTGGTGGAGATATTAAAGTATGCTTTTGTGCTCAGGCTGTCTCTCAGACGCGTCTCAGAGGCAGAAAAGTTGGAGAATTTAGTAAACGATTTATATAGTAACACGATTAATATAGAAACTGTGATTCAACCAGTTTTGAGATTGTTGATGGAGCTTAAAAGTTTTCAAACTGACACAGGCGCTACATTGGTACTTGTTTTATCATCAATTATTCAATCGATCATCAATTTACTGAGATTTACGATATTTATTGAAACTAAGGCAAATCTGACTTTGTATTCTTTATAGGATGTATTTCACTATGGTAAAACTAATCCCTGCTTGCCTGAAGATGTTACATGTACAAACGGGGTACCAATGTTTCAAACATATCCCATGGAATCCTTTATTTTGTCAGAGAAGTTTGAGGCCATGTTGGGCATTCGTAAAAGTTCTACTAGACGAGATAGACATACAGTGGCTAATTTTGTTAGTAGAGTGTCCTTTGAAAATCAGCAAATATCAAAAACCGTAGGAATCGAAACAATTAGGTATGATGCTATATTTTTTGTATATCTGTTTAGAACTTTTCTATATAGATGTGATTGTAGGTATAATAATGCTATTGAAATGGCACCTTGCATATCGAGCTGTACTGAGAATACAGCGAAACAATGTAATACATATACTCCCTTTTCAACAAGTATTATGGTAAGACTTCATGTGTGTAATATCATCTTGTATGCATAATTTTTGAGGCACAACTTTTTTTTATACATGAATTATAAAACTTTCATCAGGTTGAGCAAACAAATACGCTATATTCATCTACAAAAAGATTTATATCAAATGTAACTTTACCTTGCGAATGGATAAAATCTGTAGATTATCAAAATGAAAATGATTTGTGTGTTGTGCATACGTCGAATAATTCCAATTGCAATTTTATGGATGGATCGGAATATGCTAGAAATATTAATCAAATATGGAAAGATGTACAAATTTCCAGTGATCATATCTCAAAATTACGCACATGGGAATCTTTTGGAGCTTCAGAGTCTTCCAAACAATTATTATTTGTTACTGATTTGCCAGAGACAATGCTGCACTTGGCAAGAATAAGACAAACAAGTATTCTATCGCTTCTACCAAAGAAGGTAAATAATACATAGCAGTACTTTTGCAAATATATATTGTATAAAAAGTTATACTTTTTATGTTTAATTATGCTTTTTACAGGTGATACATTCCATATCCCTGATGCAAGAAATTTCCCTCAAAAAATTTGTATCAGATGTTAAGTTATTGTTATTTGGTATAGATTCAGACTCTTTTAAATATAATATAGTGGTATGGACGCAATTAATTTTGCTAATACAATGATATGCTTTATTTAATATAATATTTCTCATATTTTGTAAATTTTTGTAATATTACTCGTATTTTAGATAGGATTTAAATTGGTGGAAAATATTAGCGTGCATGGTATAAATTCGGATACATTAAAGATTACTTGTCAAGAAGCAATTTGTTGGGGCAACAGTTTCAAATCCCTATTGCTTCTGATCACGCCTGATCCACAAACGGGCAAGTTACAACAGGATGGTCTTATATTCAAAGTATTTATATTATTCTCTTTCTCTATCTCTTCCATGTTATACAGGGTGTTCCATTTTAATTGATCACCCCGAATAACTTTTTAATTTTGATTGTAGAAAAAAATGTTTCAGACAAAAGTTGTATGGCTTAAAGGGGGACATAAGACGGTGCCATTAGTTTGACCTTGAAGAGTCATCTGAAAGTCACATCCAACTTTTTAAATGGGACACCCTATATGTTTTGCATATTCTGATAGCTTATCTCGAGAGCTTTCCAAAACACTATAATTAAGTTAGTTTTCATTAAGTATTTTCCAAGTTATGAGGCTTGAAATTATTTCTTAATTTTACATAAATCGTAAAATATTATATATATTTAGTAAAATATTCATTTTTCATATTATGTTACCTAATACTTTTATGTACAAAATAATGAGAGGAATCAATTTGTGTAAAGGAAAAACAATCGTTTTTAAAAAAATATGGAATTGTTAATTGCAAATTACATATTTTTTCTTCGAAACAATTATATGTTTTCTTTACACCAATTGATTCCTCTCATTATTTTGTACATAAAAGTATTAAAGTAAAATAATCGAAAAATGATTATTTTATGGTTTATGTAAAATTAAGAAATGATTTCAAGCCTCATAACTCGAAAAGTACTTGATGAAAACTAACTTAATTATAGTGTTTTGGAAAGCTCTCGAGATGAGCTATAAGAATATGCAAAAGTATATAGGGTGTCCCATTTAAAAAGTTGGATGTGACCTTCACGTGACCTTCAGGTGACTCTTCAATGTCGAACTAATGACACCATCTTATGTCCCCCTTTAAGCCATACAACTTTTGTCTGAAACATTTTTTTCTACAATCAAAATTAAAAAAGTTTTCGGGATGATCGATTAAAATGGGACACCCTGTATAATTTTAATTACATTATATATGTATAATTGTAGGCGATGTGTGCCAATATCAAGGAGCTACTCTTATATTATCGGTCGGCGTTGCAAAGAATTCTGAATCGACATGAATTTGACGGATTGTTAAGCTTGTTGAAAAAGGTTCGTCCACTGGCACATTTGATTGTGGAAGTTGCAAGATTGTGCGATCGTTGCAATTACAATCAATGCACTTTAGACAGCGGAATCTTAACGCACATTTATAAAGAAGTGACCGAGATCACTGATCCAAAGGTTGCATTGGTCTTTTACTCTATATTAAAATCATGCTGCGAAGTTTACTTTCGGTAAGAAACAACGTTGACAAATCGATATTTTATTCTTCACAAGAAGTCAAAAATAATATTATGTAAAAATAAATTTTAAATAAATTTTAAAAATGATATAAATTTTAAATAAATATATAAAAATAATATAATAATATAAAATAATATAATAATATAAAATAATATAATAATATAAAAATTATATAAAAATAATATCTTTTGACAGATTGCTGGAAAACTGGTTATTTGAAGGGAGATGCGACGATGTTTACGGAGAATTCATGATTCAGTCTCGATCTCATAATCTGCGAAAGAAGGGACGTAAATTCTGGACGGACAGCTTCGCAATCGATACCGAGTCAGTACCCGGTTTTTTATCTGAACTATCAGAATCGATATTGGAATGTGGGAAGACGCTGCGACTTTTAAAAATTTGCAGCCCAAAGGTTATTAATTTTCGTTATAAAAAAAAAAACTTATTATTTTTCAATTGTGAATGGATAAAAAGACACCAATATCTATGCCACTTCAGAATCTTGTATGCAATGTGTCCTTCAATGCTCGACCGGAAGTAAGGGTCTGCCTGAGCGTGTCCATGCTGCGAGAACAGATGCTAAGATGTCAGGAATATAAGCGTGAAGGTGAAGCGGCATTGGGACCAATCGTATCTCTTTTATCCGCGACTCAAGATGAAAAGAAAGCCGAGAGGAAGAGGGCTGAGCTGGTGATACGCGCGCAGCAGGAGACCTTATCGAGGCTAAATAGTAATATTTTTATCCAAATTATTGTATATTATATTTATTTATTATTTATTTTATTATTTATTTATTATTATTTATTATTATTTATTATTATTATATTTTATTATTTATTATTTATTTTATTATTATTATTTATTATTTATTTTATTATATATTATATTTATTTATTATTTATTTTATTTTAGTTTTTATCATACACGTTTTAAAAAGAATCACGATTCATATATTTAACAATTTTTGCAATATTATTTTTAGAACAACGCCAAGAACTTATCGCGAAGACAGTGCAACGTAAACGAGAATTGTTGCAAGAATTGAAGCACCAAGCAGAAGAGAGTGCTTTGTTTAAAGAAAAGAAGAAAGAGATTGAGATGCTGGCTGACAAATTATTGCTCGAAAAGTTTGATCGAGAGCAGGAAGAAATACGAGAGCAACAACAGGCTGAGCGGTAAAATTCAACTAATCTTGAAAGAAAATTATTGAAAAATGACATTTATTATAAGTTAATTATAAATATTTAATTAAAAATAAACAGGGTTGGGTAAGTTTATATTTTTTTTAAACTAAATTAAGTTAAAGTTAATGGGTTAAAAAATTAATTTAGTTATGTTAAAAGTTATACAAATAAAAAATTAACTCAATAAAAGTTACGTTAAGATTAAATTAACGTTAGTTAAGATAAAAGTTAAAATTTTGAAAAGCATTATTTCACTTTATATTAAATTAGATTGTAATTTTAAAATTAGATTACTCTAAATAATAATAATATGAATCATCAAATAAATTTGGGGGGAAAGTTAATAAGTTTAAGTTTATGTGTTTTAAAAATAACTAGTTAAAAGTTAACTCTTTTTAAAATAACTAAGTTGAGTAACGAGTTAAAAATTATTAACTTTTTTTTTAACTTTTAACTAATCAACTAGTTATTACCCAACCCTGAAAATAAAATATAAAAATATTTAATTAAAAGTAAAATATAAAAAATTAAAAATAAAATATAAAAATATTTAATTAAAAACAATCGTAGCATTAATTTCATTATTTTTTTATTGTATTACAGAGAACATCTTATAAATTACTATGAGAAATTAAACACCGATCTAGAGAGCAATCGTATACGATCGAATTGGCGTAAGATGAGAATGAGTCATTTCGAAAAACGTGTAGAATATTTGAAGTCTATGAAGAAATCCGACAACGAAATGTTGGAAAGTGTCGCCACACCAAGTCTGGATGAAAATATCAACAATACTGATGAACAAAATAAAAACATTCCTACTTCACCAAGCGTGTCTACATCTGAAGTGGAGGGTTTATCTAGTCAAGATGAAAATAGCAACTTTCCAGAAAGTGAAATATTGAACGAAGCAACAATAGATGTTTCTAATCGAAACGATATAGAAGATAAAGAAGATTCGTCAGTCGCTAAAAGTGCGAACTCTGATCTCCCATCTAGCGATACTGATAAAGATATTGAATCGAACGAGAAAATTATGACAAGTAAGGATCCTCTCATAACAGTGGATACCCAAAATGTACCCCTACCGCAAGAATCTTTGCCCTTAAATTATATCTACAAAAAGAACAACGAGAGGAGCAATCTGCAGGATTTTCTACGCGACGAAGCGATGAAGAATATTCGTACGATCATGAATGATAGACAAATGGCTACGATTGATACTCGTTTAAATAATATCTTGGAAAGCGACAAGATTACCGAGAAATTGATCGGTAGTATTAACAGGCCTAAATCCTTAGCTATCGAGAGGATAGATAATATGACTATAGCGCAAAGCAACAAACTTAAAGTCCTCATACAAGAATATGGCTTGACTCCGAATAATAATGAGCTCAGTACAATATTCACAGATAAACTCACAGTTAATTGCACAAATATAAACGGCAATAACGAAGTCACCAATGAACAAAATTCAGACAATACAGAGAAAAATGTCAACAACAACGCTTCTCCAACATCCGGTATCAAATTGCCGGAAAAAGAAATGATGAACAGGCCTATAAATAATGAGGAGTATTCAAATAAAATTAATGATGCAAATGCCATCACGGAGCAAGATCCGATATTGAATAATATCCAGCGGCAAAATAATATAGATACACCAATGTCGTGTACGACTGACAACTTCACCACATTATCGACCCACACTCCTCTGTCGCAGATACCAAACAGCGATGATATATTTGCTTTAAACGGCGGTCAGGAATCATCTTTGTCCGATATGACAAAGTCAATGATAGGGGAGACGTACTTTGAATCCCCGATGAGTGGTAATTTTAAATTGCCGAGCTTGTTTGGCGTTACTGATTCTGATGTGAAGTCCTCGCCGGTCTCATCTTTAACAATAGCTGATGTCGAGATGATCGACCATACCTCGCTCCAGGTGTATTTAGAAAAATCCATCATCATTCCTCTGCAGATACAAACTTGGCTGGTTAATAACGCGATTATCAAACACCTGGTGAACGAGTGCAACGTACTATCGCATTTGCACAGTCTACGTAGTTATTTCTTTCTGTTGAACGGCGAATTTGCGAAGAGTCTAACAGACTCGCTTTATTCCCGACTTTACACGATATCCGCGCCGATCGAGCTCTTCAATTCTGCTACTCTCACGAATCTCCTGGAAAAGGCGCTGATGAACTCGTTCAGTAATAATTATGCCAATTCGGAACTCTTGAGTCTTTCCGCTATCGATCCACCGTGCCAGTTATATGTAAATAAATTTTTTAAGACAGTTTTTTCAATAATAATTATTATTATTACGAGAAACCAGGGTTGGCAAAAAACTTTTTTTTATTTTAAACAAAAAACATTGTTTTTTTGTTTAGAACAATGTTTTTTGTTTTATTTGTGTTTTTTAAGTAAAGTAAAAAAAACATGTCTTAAACAAAAAAAGCATGTTTTAAACAAGCAAAAAATACTTAATCGCTTTAATCTGTGTACATATTTAAATTTTTCGCTAGCGTTAAACTGTAAATAACGTTGCCAAAATTGACAACGCTATTAAAAATATAAATAATAAAATAAAAGTGATAAGATGGGTATTATTTTAGCAGAATATTTATTTTTTGGAGTTATTTATTTTTGAAAAAAAGTTCTAGTTAATAATATTTAATATATAATACTTTGGTTCCTTTTCTATTCTTATTAAGTAACCTCATGCTTAATTCTCTCTCAACATAAATTATAAATAAAAGAAAAATAAAAAACCTCAATTCTTCTTTTTAAAAGAAGAACTTTTTTTTAGAACTACTGACCTGCTATGAGTTATGTACTATTAATTTGAAATGCTAAAATGTATAATGTAAAGTCAGTCAATATTTTCTAAATAATCTTTATTGTATTGATTGTTATTTAATATCCAAAAATAAATATTCTGCTAAAATAATACCCATCTTATCATTTTTATTCTATTATTTATATTTTTATATCTATGTTACATAAATATAGATAAAAAACTAAAAACACTAAAACAAAAACTTTTTTGCAATATACACATCTATTCTAGTTTTTGTTTGTTTTCGATTTTTTTACAATTTTTTTTCCAAATAATCATATATTTTATTTGCGATATTTTAAACGATTCTAAACAGTAGTTTAAAACAGTTTAAAACAAAAATGTTTAAAACAGTGTCCACTGTTTTAAACAAATTTTAATCAAACAGTTTTAAACACATTGTTTAAAACATGCCAACCCGGCGAGAAACTTTGCCCGATATCTAACAATATTCTCTTTTATTGCAGATTTCAGATCCAAATGTTTTGGAATGTCTTTGCCTAAACTATAAAATAGCATGGCCGTTGAATATCATCTTGGATGACACGATGATGTTGCAATACAGCAAAGTATTTAAATTCCTAATAACGACTGGCAGGATGTCGTGGGTTTTACAAGAAGATTTTAATATAATGAAGGTAGAGCGTAACGCAGTCAACTCGGAGCAATATCACAAGGTTATAATTAATTATATTGTTTAATTAATAATTATAATATAATATAATATTTAATTATTAATTATATTAATTGTTAATTAATTAATAATTATAATATAATATAATATTTAATTATATTCTTATATATTTATAAATTATTATTATATGTTTATTAATATTATTATAATATATTAAATTAATTATATTAATTAATTATTAATTAATTAATAATTATAATAATTAATTATTATAATATTATTAATTAATTGCTATTAAACATGAAGTAAATATTAAGAAAATGATCTCATCGATGTCGTTGGTTTGTGCACAGTTGCAGTTATACAGACACTCCATGACTCAATTCACGAATGCTCTTCACAATTATTTAACGTGTAGCGTGTTACACGCAAGTTGGAGCGAGTTCGAAAAGGATTTACAGAATTCTCGGACGATAGATCAGATCTACTGCTCGCACATGAACTACATTAAAAGGATACTCTCGAGGTTATTTTTTAGTTATTTTCAATAATTAAGAGTGAAATAAACCTAACAAAACTAAATATATATATCAATTTTTCAGATGTATGCTTCATACTCGCGGAGAAAAGATGCGCGTGTGCTTAATCAATATTTTCAAGATCATATTAAAGTTTCACAATCGCCTAAGATCGCAAGCCTGGAAGGTCGATAGTGATAATACAGGTCGATACATTCATCCAAATTTCAAAAGTTTGGAGCAAATGTATCGATCGTTTTGCGAATGGCGGGAATATATGGCTCATGTCGCGCGCAAATTTTCCACCAGTGGATATCAGCCGCACCTGACACATTTTCTCAACGCTTTAAATATAAATCATATGTATGATTTGACGACAAAGCAACAATAGTAAAATAAAACGTCACTATCACTCGTGTCTTTTTTTTACACTCAAATGTAAAAAGATATAGGTAATTATACATGTCCCATTTTAATTGATCGCCCTGAATAACTTTTTTAATTTTGATTGTAGAAAAAAATGTTTCAGACAAAAGTTGTATGGTTTTAAGGGGCACATAAGACGGTGCCATTAGTTTGACCCTGATGTAGAAAACACACAGTTTTTTTTAAGAAAAAATATGTAATTGTTAATTACAAATTACATATTTTTTCTTCGAAATAATTATGTGTTTCCTTTTCACCAATTGATTCCTCTCATTATTTTGTACATAAAAATATTAAGGTAAGATAATCGAAAAATTAATATTTTATAAGATATTTTACGGTTTATGTAAAATTGAAATGATTTCAAGCCTCATAACTCAGAAAGCACTCAACAGAAAAATACTTTATTATAGTGTTTTGGAAAGCTCTCTAGATGAGCTACAAGAATATGTAAAAGCAGAGTGTCCCATTTAAAAAGTTGGAGATGACCTTCAGGTGACTCTTCAAAGTGAAACTAATGACACCATCTTATGTTCCCCTTGAAACCACACAACTTTTGTCTGAAATATTTTTTTTACAATCAAAATTTAAAAAGTTATTCGGGGTGATCGGTTAAAATGGAACACCCTGTATACGAGTCATATCTCGATTTATATAAAAAATAATTCAATTTTCGAAAAATGCTCTTTTATATATTTATTTATTTAGCAAAAAAATCGATATATAGAATTTTTATTTTATCAAGAAATAAAATTAATTCTATATCGCATTTACATAGATATCGATGATACGTTCGTCATATCGAGTACCTTAATGCAGCGGCCGCAAAGGCCGTTTTTATCTAATTCGGGATGCCTTCTACACCTTTGGCAAAGCATCTTCTTTGTATTGTGCAATTCAATCTGCGTTTCGTTTACCATAGGCGATTCTAACAACGTAATTGACGAAAGTTGTAAAATATCGCAAAATTCCGACGTGGAGGATTCTCGGTCCTTTTGAAGTATCTGTGAATAGACAAAGAAAAATACGTTAATGTATAATAATAATTATTTATTCAGAATCAAAAACTATTGCAAGAGAAATTTATAATAAAAATAGAATAATTCTTACTGAAAAAGATTCGTAATCAGTCGTTGTAGCTGTTATGGTACCCGACAATTCCCACGTGTTACAATCAGCCAATGTATTGACTTTGCTTCTCAAACTTAACGCTCTCTCTACATGCTTAGAGATTTCCGGCTGATGCCAAGTTTCCGGTACTTTAAACTCAGTATGATACAATGGTATCGATGCTGTGAACGATAAAATTGTATGAAAAAATGTGCTTTAGTTATTTTTTTCTCGCTAAATTGCTTACCTAAATTTTCAGGATGATAAAGCCATACTTCTTCTGCCAAATGCGGAACAACTGGCGCGATAGATCTTGCAAGTACAGTCAAGATGTCGCAAGTTACCTCCATCGCGGCCAGACGCGTCGGAGATTCCACTTCGTCGCAGTAAAGTCTATCCTTAATTAAGTGACAGTATACTGGTGACACTGTATTCGTCAGGAAATTTATTATCAGTTTACATACGTGGTGATACAAATAATTTTCGTACAAATTTTGAATCTGTGAAATAATCAATCAATATCGATGACATGTAGATTGTGATTTTTTCTTAAGTATATTTGCTTTACAATCAGTGTTTGCTGGTATCTAGATAAAGAAAGATCATCTTTATCTTTAACTAGATGAAGAAATATAAAGTATCTTTATCTTTATCTTAGATGAAAAATATATGTCATCTTATCTAAAAATTGTCTAAGATGACGTTTTCATTATGCAAAAAAGTTTTCCAGGCAAGCTTTTAAAAATCTATCTAAAATATATTTTTTATATTATTATTATTAATATATTATAAACATATTATATTATTAATATATTATAAACATATTATTATATTATTAATATATTATAAATATATTATAAACATAAATTAATAAATAAATATTTATCATATCATTTATATACCTTTTTACTATTATTTAAATATTCTTTAGGAAAAGAGAAATAATGTGTTTATGATTTTAATATTCCATTTATAATCTGCGTCACATTTTTTACAAATATTTATAGTCTTGTAAAATAAACAAAAATATCTAGATAATTATCTAGATTATCGCAATAATTATCTCATCTTTCATCTAACTCATTAAGTAAAAGCAAAATCATCTTTATCTCATCTAAGATAAATTTACGGATTTTTATCTTTATTTTTATCTAGATAAGTTTGAAATTATCTATAGCAAACACTGTTTACTATTACCTCTTTGTTGTATTGATACAGAGCATGTAACATATACTTGTCAAGATGAACATATTCCGGTTCGATTGTGATTCCCTCGTTATAGGAATGTAAAACACCCAACAGGAAGCGTAAGACCAAACGTAATTTTTGAATAGATTCATGACTTTCGCGCAATAATGTTGTCGTAACCGGAACTTGACTATGTTGACATCCATGGCTAGCTACCCACCACCTGTCAATTTATTTTTTATTAATTTAAAATATTTTATTCTGTTCGCACATAGATTCGGATTGATTAAACGAATAGTTTAGATAGTTGACCTTAAAGTATCAACGCCATATGCTGGATTTTTATTCAAGTTTTCTCCACCTTTAGTAATTTCTTCAGAATTTACGACGTTTCCAATTGATTTTGACATTTTCGAGGCTTTATCATCGACAGCAAATCCGTGCACGAACAGCGCGCTTTAAAGTAATATAGGTAAATATATGTATATTTTTATAAGATTTTTAAATAGATATTTCATTTTTTATGTTATGAGTAAACTACTTGTAAGGAGAGCGTCCTTGAAGAGCGATGGATGTTAGTAACGATGACTGAAACCAACCGCGACATTGATCCATTCCTTCTAAATATAAATCCGCTTTATATTCCGGTAAAACGGCCGACCACGAAAGACCGCTGTCCAACCAAATATCCATGATATCCTTAATAAGAAATATAATCGTGTATTTTGCATTATTGACATTTGACATTATTAATTAAGGATGTTTTGTATGTGCAATTCAGGATTGGCAAAAAACTTGTTTTTTTTGTTTAGAACAATGTTTTTTGTTTTATTTATGTTTTTAAGTAAAGTAAAAAAAAACATGTTTTAAACAAGCAAAAAACACTAAATAGCTTTAATCTGTGTAAATATTTAAATTTTTCGCTAGCGTTAAACTGTAAATAACGTTGTCAAAATTGACAACGCTATTAAAAATATAAATAATAAAATAAAAATGATAAGATGGATATTATTTTAGCAGAATATTTATTTTTTGGAGTTATTTATTTTTGGAGAAAAAGTTCTAGTTAATAATATTTAATATATAATACTTTGGTTCCTTTCCTGTTCTTATTAAGTAAACTCATGCTTAACTCTCAACATAAATTATAAATAAAAGAAAAATAAAAAACCTCAATTCTTCTTTTTAAAAGAACTTTTTTTTAGAACTACTGACCTGCTATGAGTTATGTTACTATTAATTTAAAATACTAAAATGTAAAATGTAAAATCAGTCAATATCTTCTAAGTAATCTTTATTGTATTGATTGTTATTTAATATCCAAAAATAAATATTCTGCTAAAATAATACCCATCTTATCATTTTTATTTTATTATTTATATTTTTATATCTATATATGTTACATAAATATAGATAAAAAACTAAAAATACTAAAACAAAAACTTTTTTGCAATATACACATCTATTAGTTTTTGTTTGTTTTTGATTTTTTTTACAATTTCTTTTCCAAATAATCATAAATTTTATTTGCGATATTTTAAACGGTGTTCTAAACAATAGTTCAAAACAGTTTAAAACAAAAATGTTTAAAACAGTGTCCACTGTTTTAAACAAATTTTAATCAAACAGTTTTAAACACATTGTTTAAAACATGCCAACCCTGGTGCAATCCCAGCAAAACGTAGCTGAAAATCAATATTGACGAATATATCCACTTTTGGTGTATTTTGAGTATGAGAAATTGTGTGGAACGTTACAATTTGATTTTAGCTACAATGCAGAGATGTATTTTTTAATATTTATTGCGTTTTTACTGAAATATTCCGAATTTTGTTAATCGAAATGATTAACTTTTGGCAGAGAATTTCACCTTGTAACAAATGATTAACTTCATTAAATTATATTTAATATCTTTTTAACCAGTTAGTACTTGTATAATATTATTTGACCAAATATTTCCTCTGTATCTAAACTTTTGCAAATTTTAAATAAGTTCTGAATATTATTTCCATGTGTTTTTATCATTTCAATCGACGTGGTTATACATTTTCCATAAGAACACATGTTAAATCGATGCAAATTAAAATCCTTATAACTTGTGAACGCTTCAGTGAATCGATTTAAAAATTGTACTAAAGATTCTAAACATATGTAAGGACATTCTGTACAATTTTCTTTCATTAAATTCTCAATATTTTGAAAATAGGTACAAAACATCCTTAAGAGATCCTCGTACCATTCCTTTTTCCAGGTCATCTATATTATTGCCGTTCAATTCTTGCCGTAACTCGCGACCGATTAATTTTTCAACTGATAGTTCCCACCAATAATCGGTACCGTAGCGTTCCATCAGTTTGCACAATCTCTCGATCCATTTTCTGCACACAATATAAGTCTATAACTGAAACAATATAAGTCTATTCTTGTATCATTTATCAATCATATAAATAGTTACCTGCTTGTATATATGTCACCAGTTCGTTTATTATACAATATCGGTATCGGCGTTCCCCAGGATCGTTGTCGGGAAATACACCAATACGGTCGTTGTTTAACTTGAGCGAGTAATGCATTCAAGTACGACGTATAATTTTGCTCCGGATATATTCTTATATTCGCGATGCTGTCCTTGCATAAAAAAAACAAAGTATGAACACATGAGTGACGAACGTATAGCAATGCATTCTGTCTTGTGTTTCATAAAGACTCGATTGAATTATTCCATATTCTCTTAAAAAAATCAAAATAAAACCCCCTCTAAAATATTCAACATTAAATCTTGATACTAATTCAGATTCTCCCTCAATAAAATCTATAGGACTTCGACTTTTTTTTTAATTCTACCAAAACCGTAATAAAAAAATTATAAATAAAGGATATAAATAAACAATATATCAAACATAATATTAAAAGTATATAAAATCTACAAATGAATATCTTTCTCTTAAAATTATTAAAATTAAAATAATTAAAATAAATCTAACTTCATATGATAATATTTGAGACACGAATTGAACCTATTATTGAATATATTGAATTTGCAGATCAACCCAAACACACAATAATATACCTCATTACTGATATAAAAATAATTATTAATAACAATTACAATTGCAGCTTCTTTAATAGAGTTTATGTCTATGAACCACTGATGACTCGCGCGGATGATTACAGGTTTCTTAGTTCGCCAATCATATGGATAGCTGTGTGTAATCATATCGGTATGCAAGACATTTTCACTGATGTGATGTAGGATTTTATTAGCGCCATCGGTTAAGACGTCTAAACCGGCGAATTCATCACCCGTTTCTCTGATGAAGCATCCATCGTCATCTATTAAAGATAACTGTAACATTAACATCATTAATTCAAATCGAATGTGATTCGCAGTGTTTGCTGATATCTAGATAAAATTATCTAGATAATCATCTAGATAAAGAAATGGCTCATCTTTATCTTTAATTAGATGAAGAAATACAAAGTATCTTTATCTTTATCTTAGATGAAAAATATATGCCATCTTATCTAAAAATTATCTAAGATGACGTTTTCATTATGCAAAAAAGTTTTCTAGGCAAGCTTCTAAAAATCTATCTAAAATATCTAAAATATATTTTTTATATTATTATTATTATTATTAATATATTATAAATATATTATTATTATATTATTAATATATTATAAATATATTATAAATATAAATTAATAAATAAATATTTATCACATCATTTGTATATTTTTTTGCTATTATTTAAATATTCTTTAGGAAAAGAGAAAGAATATGTGTTTATGATTTTAATATCCCATTTATAATCTGCGTCATTTTTTACAAATATTTATAGTCGTCTAAAATAAACAAAAATATCTAAATAATTATCTAGATTATCGCAATAATTATCTCATCTTTCATCTAGATTAAATAAAAGCATAATCATCTTTATCTCATCTAAGATAAATTTAAGGGTTTTTATCTTTATCTTTATCTAGATAATTTTGAAATTATCTACAGCACACTGGTGATTCGAATAAAATTTCATTAAGATAATTGGAAATCAATCATGCATGTTGCCATTGGTAAGAGATAACTTACTACTGGTATGTTATTTTCAACTGCAATGAGAAAATCCTCTGGACCGTGTGCCGGAGCTGTATGAACTAATCCAGTACCGACACTGGTTGTAACATGCTGCCCAGGTAAGAATGGTAAACGCTCTCTAGTAATGGGCTGAAAATACTTAGCTTCACTCAATTCTTGCCCTATTAAGAAATTATATTTCTCAGTTATAACATATTTGAATATTACGAAAAACTAAATGCATTACCCGTAATGGTTGTAATTAATTTTAATGGACCAAGTTTCTGCTCGATACTTGTTAAGCATTCTTGTGCAAGAATATATAGATTTTTTAAATTATCCTCCACAATACAGTATACAATGTTACTGGAGAAAGCTATAGCTTGATTAGCTATCAATGACCATGGTGTGGTAGTCCAGATTAGTGCATAAAGCGGTTTATTTTCCAAATTCTTTAATTTCGAAGATAATGTACATGCATCAAGTTGCATACGAATAATAACGCTTTTGCTCTTGTGAGATTCATTGTATTCCAGTTCTGACTCTGCTAATGCTGTTCTATAATTATATCGAGAAGAGAAAAATATTTAAGGGAATTAGAGAATTTCTTTAGGCTTGATTTATATTTATAAATATTTTGATAATTTATAAAATAAATAAATAAATAATATTTATAAATAATATTTATAAATATTTTGATAATTTATAAAATAAATAAATAAATAAATAAATTTATAAAATACCTAGAGGACGGTGACCAGTACACTGGTTTGAAGGCCCTAAATACAAGTCCTTTGTCGTACAAATTTATAAACTGTTGCAACTGATTCTGTACATATGAAACATGATTTGTATAATAACATCCTGATTCATTCCAATCAGCGACAGTACCCCACGATATAAAAATTTCTCTTTGCTTCGCTATAGCATCGCTCGCAAATTTCCTAGCTACAACATAAAACTTTTAAAAACATATAATTGTGATATTTATATTTCGACATACCTTTTCGACGAATTTCTAATGGATTCACATTCTTTGTATTACTAAGTACTTTTTGTTCAATTGGTAAACCATGACAATCCCAACCTGGGACATAATGTACTCTTCTACCTGTTATAATTTTACTTCGTAATGTAATATCCTTCAGGATCTAGGCAAATAATAATAATTAACTTTTAAATATCTTCCTTTTCGATAAAGTAAAAAAAGATCATATTTTATAGTTTTTTTGCTACCTTATTAATGGCGTGACCCATGTGTGGCAGTCCATTAGCATATGGCGGGCCATCGTGCAAAACAAAATCTGGCCCTTTAAGATTTTTCCTTTGCCAATTATATAATTCCAAAAAACCACATTTCTATATTGAAGAAATACAGAACAAATTTTTTATATATATTATTATTAATTTGTATAATTTAATATATATATATATATATTAATATTAATTATATTTATATTAATATTTTTATTAATTATATTTATATTAATATTTATATATTAATAACTATAAAGTTTACATTATTTGCAAAGCTATGTGAATAATGTTACATATTTATATGATGCATACAAAATTACAATTGATTTACGCTTCCTAATTTTTTTTTTTTTTTTGAAGAAAAAAATAATTTAATTCAAAGAAATTAAATGTAAAAAATTTGTAGAATTGCAGAGACAACAAACCCACTTCTATTAAATAGCTATCCATTTCCACTCTTTTCTTGCCGCTGAGTCGTGCCGGAAAATTAGTTTGCGGCAACAACACTGTTTTCGTATAGTTTTGTTTCGTGGCACTTTTCATGCCTCTTAGCCATAATGTACACATTTTTGTACAAGTTCGCAATGTAACTTTTGTCGATTTGAACAATTGTCCCATTTTTATGTTAAATATGGACATTATTATGAATAATTAGAGGCAATGTTTTGTTTCCCCTATTCTAACCTTAACTTTCTCACGAACCTAGGTCGCCATTTTTAAATGTGCCATTTTAAAAATCTGTCAAAGTTTGGGTCTGTTCTTTTTAGCTGCACTGCTGCATTAGTGCAATAAGTTAGAAAGAGACAAACATACTTTCTTTCACTCTAACTAATTGCACTAGTGCAGCAGTGCAGCTAAAAAGAACAGATCCTTTGTGAACACGCCATTACGCATCAGCTGACATCAGCAAGTCACGTGATTGGCGGGGAAATTCATCTTTAACGGCGGGAGGATAAAAATAGGAGATTAAAAATGTAAAAATAAAAAGGTAGAATTTTATTGAAACATTTTGATTTGCTATGCATCGTACATTTATAAAGTAAAAATTGACAGCTATTAAATTAGCATAAAAAAAGAATGTCATAGATATAAATTCAATATTTATTCATAAGAGAACGATTTTATTTATTGACGATACTAAAATAAAGTAAGATTAAAGCATTAAATTTATATATACCTCGCATATTAATGATCACAAGACATATATTATATGTGTATTATTGAACGCAAAAGAGCAGATTATAATATTTAATTACAAAAAATACGTAAAAAGGCAATTGTTGAAATATGTGCGAAATAGGTTTTTGAAAAGGTTATAAAGATATTTAATTAAGCATCAATAATAATTGAAGTAAAATTATGATTTTATTTTGAATTGAAATTTGTGCGAAATAGGTTTTTCGAAAAGGTTATAAAGATATTTAATTAAGCATCAATAATAATTGAAATAAAATTATGATTTTATTTTGAATTGAAATTTGTGCGAAATAGGTTTTTCGAAAAGATTATAAAGATATTTAATTGAGCATCAATAATAATTGAAATAAAATTATGATTTTATTTCAATTATTATTGATGCCGAATTAAATATCTTTATAACCTTTTCAAAAAACCTATTTCGCATAAATTTTATGTGTAATAACAATAAAAAAAGGAAGTATAAATGTTGTAAATACATAAAACTAAAGTCTAGAGTACGCAAATGTGTCTAATGATGTCTATTATTCGTTATCCTTTTAGACCCAGTTCCTTATTCAACTTATTCTAACCGAAGTTTAGCTCGTTAAAGGAGGATTTACAATGTCCGATATATGACGTCCGATTGGATACAATGGGTTTGGAACGCAATAAAATTAAGTTGTGAAGACTAGACCTTAAAAAAATATATAGAATAATGTGCTTAATTTTTATTTGAGTGTAAGGTTTTGCTCACTTTATCTGAAATTCATCCAAAATATTTCAATTTTCGCTTAAAGATGATGAGATATTTATTATAATAATAATATTAAATATTATACATATATGTTAATATTAAATATATAAAAATTTATATATATATAAAATATATATTATATATTATATATATATATATATATATATATTATATATATTAATATTAAACATACATTAATTATAATAATTAATATTATTATAATATTATTATAAAAAAATTATATAAAAATATAATTAATTATAACTAATTATATTAATATTTATATATAATAACTTTTTAAAATTTTTCAGCACACACAAATATGTCTGTTGCTCAAATAAGAACAAAACATTTAGCACAAATTCTATTAATTTTTTTTATGGTACTACATATCAATTAATCATATGCCAATAAGGACTTGTAATTAGACATCATGAAATTTTTAGAAATATTTTGAATGAAACATTTTTTTTGTTATTACATTTTTTTACAGAAGAGACTTTTTACAGTTGTCTAATAGTTGATAATTCAATATAAAACATTTTCGATGGAATAAAATACCGAATTTCTATTTCCATTTAAATGTTAGACTTTGCGTTACTTTTATTTTAACTTTCTTATATTCTTGTTCTAAATTATATTGTTAGTTTCTACTTTCATTAGGGCATCAGTTTCTGTTATATATTCAAATTCATCTTCTCGTAAAACATTGTTACTCTTTTTTTCTACCTTCGCTAAAAATATAAAAAAAGTCGCATGATACAAAAACTTTTCAAATTAATATATATGGCATTAAATATTGAAAAATTTCTAGGTTTAATTAAAATGGTTTAATTAAAATGTTGAAAAATTTCTAGGTTTATGCCATTTAATTCAATACATGAATAAAAATTCGAAAAATATATCCAGTAAGTAGACTTATTGAATTTATTTGTTACTTTATAGAAATTTCAATAATAAAATAATTCTAAAATATTCTTTCAAATCTTAAGTTCTTTAACTTGAAGTAAGCTTCAAGTTCTTTAATTTGAAATTTTATAAGAACGTTCATACATGGTAATCGTGAGTCAAATGAGGACTATTATTTACAAATTTTATTTACAGTTTGTTAATTGTTTAAAAATATCAATTTCAATAATTCTAAAATAATTTATTAAGTTTTTTTGACTTATTAAAATTATTTGTTGATTAATTATCGCAAAAAACTAAAATAATTAATTTGACATTATTTTGACTCCAATTTTATTTTAAAATAAATTTGACAACACCGCAATTTTTAATTCTAAATATTATTATATAACAGCTTATTATAAAAAAAGATTTTTCATTGTTAATAACTTTTTTTAATGACCGATAACATACCACGAATTTTGTAAGAGCGATCACAATGTTATTATTCTTGCTAAATATCAAAGATTTGAATTTTTATCTAATAATAAGCTTAACGTCCAAATTTTTATCTAATAATAAGCTTAACGTCCTTAAGTGAAACAATTTTCTTTATCTCGGTATAAAGAAACAAGGTGAAGCATTCCCGATAATGCGCACTCTTTCAATTTTTAAACCAATCAGCGCGCGACCCATTTTGTAAAAAAAGCAAATGACTGCTCCCGTCAGTGTATCATTCGTCCTTTGATGCAACATATGCAGTAAGTAGTAAATATAATTAATAAAATAAAATAATATAAACTAAATATAATTAATGTTGAGACATCATATTGTTTGATATTTGCTTAATAATATGTTTATGTGCAATAAAGTTTATATTTAAATTGTTATTTTATTTAAGTCTACATTTTATTTAAAATCATTATCATATGTTATTAAATGTTATTTTAAATATAAAAGAATCACAAAAAAACGTTATTTTATTTATTCCTGTATTTTATTGTATTTCATCAAATATATATTTAAAATTTTATTGTATTTTTATTCTTTATAATCGAATTTCACTTTAAAGTGAGCGCCTGCAAAATGGGTTGCCTTCGGATCAATCGCCAAAAGCTGCTGCCATTATGCGCAATGCTTCACCTTGTTTCTTTACATCATGATTTAGCTTTTATTTCTCTATTTCTACTAATAAAAAATCAGCAGACGAAAGTATTCGAAAAAAATTCGAGGTCAGGAATCTCAGAATGAGCTTATTAGGTTCCTTTATCGTTTTGCGAGATTCCATGTCGATTATCAATGATCGTTCTTCTTCTCTACCTCATCAATAGCTTCCCCGATTACTTCTCTCTCGGCATTTATGCTCTTTCTCAGTTTATTCATGGATCGTACTCTTGTCTCCGCCGGTGAAATATTCTCTTCATCGTTCTCTTTTATTGTTTTCTTGCGTCGAGTTGTCCTCCTGGGTGGATTCTCTCCGCTGACAATGCCGTCCTCGACCTCTTTTTGCTTTTTGGCGATCGGTGCCTTAACTTTCGGCTTTAGCTTCGTCGTGATCGTCTTCTCTAATGTGGCATCTACAATGAGATTTTAAGGAGACTTAATTAATCAAGTATTAAGAAAATATTCGATTGTGATTGGTCAATTTCTTAAGGCCCAGTTCCACAATTCAGTTAATCCGAGTTTAAGTAGTGAATGGACCAATCAGGATCCAATTTAACGTATTAAACTCGGATTAACTCGAGTTGTGGAACTGGGCCTAAATCTTACGCCTTAAGTCTCCTTAAAATCTCATTGTAGACGCTGCTTAAGGCCGGGTCTGCAATAGGTAATTTAAGCCTTAAGCCTTAAGAGATTGACCAATCACAGTCAAGTATGAAGAAAATACTCGGTTGTGATTGGTCAATTTCTTAAGGTTTAGGGCCTAAATTATCTGTTGTAAATCGGGACTAATGCATCTACAATGAGATTTTAAGGCCTATACTAACGTTATTTCAGCTTTAGGGCCTCCGCACAAAATGTTCCGTATTGCACTACGTTACGTTAAGTATAGATCGTAAATTTAAAGATATGTCTTTACGTTACGATTTTTTCTGTGCGTTGACTGAAGTTTAAGTTTACGTACAGAGTTAAATTTACAATCTGTACTTAACGTAACGTAATGCGATACGGAACACCTTGTGCGGAGGCCCTTAAGCAAAACTTAAATATATGTCTGTCTTTATTTATCCCCAAAAACTTACCTTTTTAAAAAGAGGTTTTTGGGCGCCAAGGGCGCCAAGTTCATGCACTAATTGCATCCAACTGTCATATTATCTACAAAAGTAGTGATATAAAAAAATTGCGCCAACTAAGAATAAAAATTTATACAAGATAAATAGAAATATTTTAATTGAAAACATTGTTATACAAAATAGTTGTTTTAATTTACAAAAATCATAATATTAAAAAATTAAAAATTTATTTAAAAATTCTAAATATAATAATAATTTATTAAAAAATTTAAAATTTAAAATTTATTTAAAATTAAAAATTAAAAATTTATCTTCTGTCGAGAGTAGGAAATGTACGTTTTCTCTTTTTATGTGTTGTGTACCTGTGCGTTAATGATGATGATGATGATGATGATGATGATAAAGACGTTTCTTAATTGAAAATTTTCATATTTCAACTTTGCGTTATGATATCTCCGTTTGTAGATCACGCAGCGCAAAAATAAAGATATTTTCTTTATACAATTCAAACTCACTCTATCGATTAAGGCTAGTAAGAATTCGAAAATTTATTGATATTTTTTGTGCCTAGAAAATTGTTTTTATGAAAATTGAATTTGTTATAAGTAAGATTTATTAAGGTTAAAGCAGTAAATTCTAGTAATCTTCTAGTAGTCTTCTAAATAAATTTAGA